TTGTTGATGCTTTATAATCCGTTATTGTCCTTAATCCCCACCACAGGCTTCTAGAGTCACTCTGTTGGAGTTGTGACTCTAGTTTCCTCCCGTACATGCAAATTTCAAGTGACCTTCCAGAGTAATGCCCTTTCTTTTTTTGTTCCTTTCAGACTGAAGAAGTTGCTTGAGAACGAGAAAGCCTACCAGCTCAGAAAGGAGAACGAACACGCCAAACGTCTGGGCAAGGTGCGAGAGGAGCTGGTCAAACTGAAGTCTTTCGCCCTGATGTTGGTGAATGAGCGGCAGCAGCACCTGGAACAAATAGACCAGCAGAGCCAGCGGGTCCAGGAGCTCAGCCAGCAGCTGCAGCAGCGTGAGCAGGCTTTAAGTGAAGCCAGGCAGCGTGCTCAGGAAGATGGACACAGGGCGCTGAGCCTCGAGGCCGAGCTTAAAGAGAAAGCCGACAAGCTCAAGCAACAACACGAAGAGATGAGTGCCAAGCTAGCCGGTCAGGAGCTTCTCAATCGTCAACTAAATACAAAACTTTCAGGCCTCACGAATGAGGTTGCGGAGCTGCAGGAAAGCAACAGAGCACTGAGGAGATCTGAGGAGGAACTGCATGAGCTAAGGGAGAAGATCAGCAGAGGGGAGTGTGACAACTCAAACCTGATTGCTGAATTAGAGAACTTGAGAAAACGAGTGCTGGAGATGGAAGGAAAGGATGAGGAGATTACTAAAACAGAAAATCAGTGTAAGGAGCTACGGAAGAGGCTACAAGAGGAGGACAATAAGAGTAAAGACCTCAGACTGGAAGTGGAGAAGCTCCAAAAAAGAATCATGGCATTGGAAAAACTCGAGGGAGCATTTAGCGTTAGCAAAGCCGAGTGTGCACAGTTACACGGCGCTCTAGAAAAAGAGAAGGGCCTGACCAAAGAGCTTTCAGACGAAGTTGTAGCTCTCAAGATTCGTATGAAAGAGCTTGAGTCATCTGAGATAAAGCTGGAAAAGTCTGAGCTGAGCCTTAAGGATGACCTCAGTAAGCTTAAATCACTCACCGTCGCATTGATGGAAGAACGAAAGACGCTGATGGAAACAGCGAAGTCATGTGAGGAGAAAAAGGACGATTTAAGCAACATGGTCAAAGCTGAGCAGAGTAAAGTTATGGAAGTGACCGAGAAGCTGATAGAAGAAAGCAAAAAGCTCCTAAAATTGAAATCAGAGATGGAAACCAAAATAGAGACTTTAACGAATGAAAAGGGGGAGCTTAGCACTAAGCTAGCTTGTGAAATTGATAAAACTAAGGACCTTAGCTCTAAAGTCAACCAAATGAAAAAGAAGTTAGATGGATTTGAGCAAGCAGAAAAACTTTCCGGAAAGAATTCAGTGAAATGTGATGTGCAGAGAACATCTGAGCCCATCATCAGAGACGACAACAAAGTTAAGGAGCTGACGTTTGAAATCGAGCGCCTGAAAAACCGTCTCAAACAGCTCGAAGTGGTAGAGGGAGATCTTCTCAAGACGGAGGATCAGTACGACATGTTGGAGAAAAGGTTCATGAGCGAACAGGACAAAGCCAACATTCTGTCCCAGCAGGTGGAGGAAATGCGGACTCAGATAGCGCGGAATAAAGCGATCGAGAAAGGAGAGGAGGAAAGCCAGGAGGAAGATCTGCGTCAACGTTGCAAGAGAGAGGAGGCCAGAACCAGGGAACTGCAAGGCGACGTGGTAGCGCTCAAGGAGAAGATCCACGAACTCATGCACAAAGAAGACCAGCTTTCTCAGCTCCAAGTGGACTTCTCCGTCCTGCAGCAGAGGTTTGTGGAAGAAGAAGAGAAAGCCAAGAACATGAGCACTGAAGTTTTCCATCTCACCAAAGAACTGGAGATGGCTAAGCGTCAAAGTCGAGCGCTGCGACCCAGCTTGAATGGGAGAAGAATAGTTGACGTGGCGGTGACGTCCACTGGCGTGCAGACAGAAGCGTCGTCCTCCGAGCCAGCAGAGGAGGACACCCCGGCTGGCTTTATAAGAAAGTCTGTTCAAGAAGAGAACCACATTATGAACAACTTCAGACAGAAGTGCCTGAAGAAGCCAGCAGAGAAAGG